ATAGCGGTGACTTATAAATGTTGATAATGAGTATATAAATAATGATTACATTATTTCAAATCTCTTTATCTAACTAATTATAGTAACTTAGCTGGTCTTTGGACTTAACTTTCCGTAACCTGAATCTGAGCAGAAGGTAGAGAAGCTGTAGATCTGAGAACACTACGCCTTTTCTTTGTAAGGTACATGTACTTAAACTGGGCAGGATTCATGGTGTCAGTATAATGAGATCATTAATAGTAAGGGTACTAAAATTGGGAATTTATAAGCAGTGATTAATATGATCACTTCGATTTTCGGACGGGGAAGGAATACAAGGTAGCAAATTCTGTTTTTTATTTCGTTTTGGTTTTGTTTTCTGTTCATTTATTATTCTTTCTATTGTTTAGTTAACCTGTACCATTTGTTTTACATTTAAACGCTACTTCGCATTCTAATCGATTACGTCATTTAAAGTTTCTAAAAGTTATGAGACTGACACCAGTTTCCATTACCGGTCACTTGCAGATATTTGTGTTGCAAAATTTTTAATTTAATGTTTTCAATAAAGACTTTGTCATGAGTTTCAATAACTTGGCACACGTGAGATAGTGAGCAAGTGTTATTATTCTATATTTTAATTTTTAAGTTTTACACATATTTTTCTTCCGTTCCTTTTTCTATTTTAATATTTCTATACATATTAAAACTGTTATTGATGGTATATTGTTCTTTCGTATTAGTAGGAAGTTCTCGCCATTGGTTCATTCATACACTGTATGCAGACTAATGCATAGTTTTATAATGGGTCAAAGAATAACTTTTTGGAAACAATATCCAACATCATCTGCAACCGTAGGTTTTATGAACAGATATATCTAGAAATATTATACAGAAGGTAATATTCAACTTTGAAAAACATGGGAAGATGCAGCGAAAAGCTTGTACCCTTAGTCTCTTTCGGACACAACTAAAAGTAGGTAACTCGCTACTGTCGTTAATACATTAAATATATTCTGTAGTAAATATTACTCAAATCTACTCTAATATATAAATAGATATTGAAAGTTACTACTTCTGTTACCCCATCTTTATATAAATTAGATTATATCATGTTAATGATACAACAATTTTACGTATCTAAAATGAAAATATTTTCTCCAGTGAATTTTTTTTACTTTAAATTGTGACTTACTGTTACTAAGTTGTCAACATTGAATCTTGTCTTCTGTATAACGTCTTGAAATAGTTTTGTTCGTTGGTTGTTTTCAAAACTGTTCTTTGACCTCTTATAAACTAGTACGTAATTCGTTTATGGATATGCACATGGTTCGGACTTCGTACTAACGTGAAAGAATATATCATCAATATTAGGATTAATATTTAAATAAATAAACGAAATAAAAAAAAATTAAACTTAAGCACAAAGTAAAATATATTTAATAACAAATACTTCTCCATTATCTCTCGTGAGCCAACTTATTGAAGCTCATGACAGGGTTTATATTAAAGAAATTAAAAATGCATTTAACATTATTTACACTCTTTATAAACATTAATATCTACAACTCACCGATAGGGAACTAATGTCAGTCTCATAAGTTTTATGAACTTTAAATGACGTAATTAACTAGAAGGTGAGTTAGCGTTTAAACGTAAACTAAAATTTTACAGAAAAACTAAACAATAGAAGGAATAATAAAATGAACTGAATACAAACCCATACAAAAATAAAAATTTCTAACTGACACTCCTGTTTTCGAAAACCGAAGTGATTACATTAATCACTCCCAAGTTCACATTTTCTTATCATTACTTATAATGATCTCGTTATACTGACATCATGAATCCTACCTAGTTTAATTACATATACCTCAAAGAAAATTCGTTCATGTTCTTCTATCTTCACTTTCTCTACCTTGAGTTCAAAGACAAGCTAAGCTGCATTAATTAAGTACTTAGAACAAAGATTAATTCATGTGATTTACACACTCTTTATGAACATTAATATCTGTACCTGACCGATATGGGAAACTGGTGTCAGTGTGATAACTCATAGAATCTAAAAATTTATACGATCATTTAGGAGGTGAGTTAGAGTTTAAGTGTAAACTAAAAATTGATAGATTAACTAAAAGATAGAAAGAATAATAAATTAACTGTAAACAAAACCATAACAAAATAAGAATTTGCTACCTCACACTCCTTTCGAAAACCGAAGTGATTACATTAATCACTCCTAAATCCCCAATTTTCGTATCCTTACTTTTAACACCCTCATTATACCAACACCGAGAATCCTTTACAGTTTCATTACAGACACCTTACAAAAAGAAATAATTCATGTTCTTGAATATTCATCTTCTTTACTTTCCTGCTCTGGTTCACTTTACAGAAAGTGCTGGACTTTAAAGACCACTTAAGTTAAGCAGAGGACATAGATGACTCATCATCATGTTACTTCGAACGATGAGATGGGGACACACCAGAATAAGTTCTTTATTTTGATGGAAATTGGGGGGGCGCAATCTGAAAGCCTTCTTGCGCCACTGAAATTTTCTGCAACGACATAGGATGATGAGCATTTCCTCTGGTGTCGGACAAAAGTCATTAGCATGTTATGTCGAAAGATGAGATATGGATAGACTAGAATTAGTTTATTTTGTTGGACAAGTCTCCAGGCCTTCTTGCGGCATTTAATTTTCTGAAAATGGGTAGGATGATGAATTGTGTCAAGGAATTTTAACTGGAGAAAAAATTATATATAATATTTTAAATTAATAAAAAAATCATAACCAATGTGTTAGGACAGTTCATTCCAATTTAAGATAAATTTTAGAGTAAAATTATTTACTACAGAAGATAAACATATTCATTATATCACTTTTAAGTTAACTCCTGCTTAACCTAGCTGAACTCAACTTTCTATAATTTGAACCAGAACAGGAAAGTAGAAAGGATCAAATTCAAGAATATGAATTATTTCTACTTGTAAGGTTTCTGAAACTGTAAATGATTCATAGTGTCAATATAATGAGGGCGTTAAAAGTAACGATATGAAAATTGGGAGTTTCGGAATGATTAATGTAATCACTTTGGTTTCCGAAAAGGGTAAAGAGTGTGAGATAGCAAATTCTGTTTTTATTTTATGTTTTTCTTTACCATTCAATTATTTCTTCTATCGTTTAGTTAATCTATCTATTTTTAATTTACATTTAAACGCTAACTCACATTCTAGTTAGTCACATCAATTTTTAAGCTTGTATAAATTATCAGATTGAAGCCAATTTTCTATAGGGGTGACGTACAGATATTAATGTTGGGGGAGTGTGCACGTAATTATCACATCAATTCTAATCTTTTGATGTGAGTAGTTTAGTTAATTATCACAAATTAGCTGGTCTCGGAACCCATGAACTTCCGTTAAACTGAACTGGAGCCGGAAGTTAAAGCCGAATATAGAAGAAAAGGGAATAATTTCGCCTTGAAAGGTATTTGTATTTAAATTATTAAGGATTGACGATGTCTGTATAATGAGGGCGTTAAAAGTAAGGATACTAAAATTAGATATTGTTAACAGTAATTAATGTAATCCCTTTGTTTTTCTGAAGGGGAAGGAGTGTGAAGTAGCAGGTTCAATTTTTATTTAGTTTTGGATTTGTTAACCGTTTATTCATTTTATCATTTAGTTAATGTGTGAATTTTTAGTTTACATTTTAGTTATTCACATCAATTTAAAATTTTAATTATGAGACCGACACCAGTTTCT